TGGATTCCTTTTCTCACAAACACTGACCAGCATCTGTGACGTCATCAATGACCCTGAAAGAAGAAGTCAGTCAAGTCCCCTGACAGCCTAACTCTACAAAACCTAGCCTACACCATGACCATCAGAGGAGGCTTTCTTCTGAGAGCAAGAAGCAAGGTTTTTTTGTTTTTTAATTTTTATTACATTCTATTATGCTTCCTTCTTCCTGATGCTAACGGTAAATGCTGGAATAGTCTATGTGACTGTTGGGCTGACACAGGAAAGAAACTCTCTGGAAAGTATTTATACCTTCAGCCATGAAAACAAGATATTATTGTCTTACATGACCTTTCATAAGTATGGGATATGACAGCATTTTACACAGTCATTTCTTGGTTCATGCTTCAATTACTGACCTTTACTGTGTACAAAATTAATGCAATTTTCATTGTAGTTCATCCGTACAAATAAGGTTCACATGAGGGATTCCACATAGCAAATCTAATAAAAATAGAAAATGCTAACTGATTGTTGTTGGCTGAACTCGGTTATTATCTGTTTGTTCTCAGGTCCCTAGAAAACTAGAGTTGCAATAAGCAATTTCTTACGTGGACCATCTGGGATAAGAAAGAAGGATTTGCCTTTCTTCAACGTTTAGCCTGTGTGCTTCATTTCTTAAAAAGCCCCAAATCTAGTTACCTGCAAGATCTATGTGCTATCACAAGAGAAAAGAAGGCAGAATTGTGGCCACCAATCCGGTTTCTAACACAGATGACTGCATTGTGCTGTTAACAAGGATAAGGAGCCAGAGACCACAGTGATGTCGTTTTTCTGACCGCCTTTATTCCGGACAATAAAAGTTTGACAGACCCCAGACCATGCATGTGTTGGTCTGTAAGTCAGAGAGAGGCAGAAGATGGGAGTATATTTATCCCCTGAAGAAGCAGGGCCAAGGGGCCCAGGCAGCCTATCCTCGTCTGTTGCCTGTGATGGTGTTTTCTGGGGAGAAATTGTAGATAAAGGTGTACTCTCAGGATAGATGGGTAGGGTAGAGAGTAGCTTCCCTCCCTTCTACTTGTTCAGGAAATGGTTGTCTGTTATAATTTGTTTGTGATTCCTCTTGGATTGGATATGAGACACAACCCAGAAGCATGTTCTGTCATGTCTAACATGCAGCAGAAGCCATGGGACTCTGTGAAAAGGACCACTCATCCATCCCTTGTGGTGGGGAGTGACAATTTCACTGCCTGGTCAGGTCCCAAACAAGCACATCATGGTGCTGGAGTCTGGTCCACAGAAAAGAAATGACGCATGGGGACACATATGAAATGTACCCTGATAATGTTGAACTTGAAGCTTAACAAATCTAGTTACAAATCTCCGATAGAAGTGTGCTGGCTAGTTTCGTGTGAACCGGACACATGTGGGAGTCATTTGGGAAAAGGGGACTTCAGTTGAGAAATGGCCCCAGCAGATGGGCCAGCGGGTCAGTCCATAGGACATGTTGTTGGTTAGCAATGGATATAGGAGGGTCCATCTCTCTGAGTGGGGCTCCAGCCCTGGGCTGGTGGTCCTAGGTTTTTTGAGAGAGCAGTTGAAATAGGCTTGAGGAACAAGCTAGAACGCAGCATTTCTCCATGACCTCTCTATTGGTTCCTGCCTCCAGGTTTCCACTCTGCTGGAGTTCCGGCACTGATTTTTCTCAGTGACAGACTTTGTTGTAAAGGAGAGAAATGAAACAAACCCTCTCCTCCCCAAGTTGCTTTTGGTTATGATGTTTTATTGCAGCCATAGGAACCCTAAAGGCAAGAAACAAGCGTGACATGATATGGGCGGAGACTAAAAATATGCCAGACTCCCTAGCGACAGAAAGGTGTGTTTATCAGAAAGGCCATGGATAGCATTTTTTGGCTTTAATTTTAGTTTTTTTCTTTTTAGAAAGTTATATAAAAGTATAAAACTATGGAAACAAAATACCATGGTTATGACCAAGCTATGAAAAGAACATAACACGATACCTTATTAGAAATCTCAGAGCTAAATATACCCTGGAGTGAGGACAGCCCCACTACCAACTCTTCCCACACACGACAGGTTGATAAAACCACTGTGTGTTGGTCCTCACTAGGTCCTGGCCCATGTATGTGGATGCCACTTTTAGATGATTTCTGTAGGCATCCTTGCCCAGAAAGATTTGAAACAGCACATATTGCTCCATCTCCCGAACCCCGGGCATCTCTAGGAAGGGATCACATTCTAAGTTAGACTCTAGATTGGACCGTGTTGCCTGAAAGGCTGTTGGAGAGGGCATACGAGTCATTCTCTTTATCAGTGTAGCTGCTGCTACTTGCAGAAGAGCCCTATGGTCAGGCCTAGTGGCTGCTAGGGTTAACTTACAGAAGGAAGTACCAGAGAGCTCACCAGACCCTCACTCGAGGGTCTAGCCACTCCCTGCCACCCCCTCCCAGTCAGTTGTATGTGGTTATGCTCTATTTTCACACAGCCTCATGGTCTCTGGAGATCTCAGAGTGCACAGACTGTAGAAGGTGAGTTGTAGGGGGACTTCACCTACGCAGCTTTGGGGAAGTTCTCATTTATGCTTGAGTGAGACTTTTTCATGGTGCAGCTGCTTTGGGGTCACCCTTGCTCCTGCAGGTTATCTGTCTCTCATGTTCTCTACTGAGCACCGTAAACCCACTAGGGTCACAGGTTTGACCATGGCAAAAAAGTGTGCCTTGGTTTTTCCACAGTGCTTTATCACAAGTGAAAAGCCTTATTTTTAATATCTGCCAGGTGGAAGAGTTCAAACACTAATTTTTCATCCGGTGTTTTATGTGTTTTGTTGATGATTGCTTGACACAGCATCCTCCACTCTGTACCTCAGGCTGTTCTCAGCAATCCTCCTGCCTCAGCCTCACAAGCACTGGGAGTAAACATGGGAGTCGTGAGGAACGGGTCCATTTCCTCCTGTTGGAAGGGTGTCTTTAGGTGGTATGTTAAAGATACCCTGTTACGACTGTCCCTAGGGGGGAAATGTGGTCTTCTTTCAAGGGTGGCACATTTAAACAGATTTGGATGAAACAAAATCTGCTTCACATTTAAGCTTTGGCTTTCAAAAGATTTAATTTTTGCCTAGTGCAATATTGCGATATAATAAGAAATACATATTTTGTCGTAGGTCCTGGCTGTTGGCCAGAGCTCTTAGAACTCCCCCTGCCTTGCTAAGCGATAGGAGCAGCAGGAATGGGTTCCGTTGTATTTGTTTTTGTCTTTGGATTCTGAAACAGGAACTATAAAGGAACTAAAGAACAGGACCTCGAAAGGTAGAAGGAGTCCATTCTGCTGTGAAGAACAAGCTCCTCTCGGACACACTGAATTTAAGTGGGGTGTCCTCAAAAGACAAGGGGAGCTTCCTCCCATGGGAACCAGGCATCTGATGATGAACCATGGCTGGAATTTGCAGGAGCCTCCTCCAAAGCTCCTGACCCTCCAGATGAAGACAGTCTCCTCTATCACCGGAGGTCACTAACTTAATCAATCTCATGTTGATAGAGACACCTCATGCACATGATAATAGAAACACAAAGCAGTGTCAGGAGGCTTCTGGGTAGGCTAACATATGGAATTCCTGGGCCTACGGTGAGCATAGACACTCTGCTCTGCCTCAGGCTTGTCCCCATGCCTCTCTTCTATTTGGTTGCTCCCAAGTTGAATAATGCATAATAAGTCAGTAAAGGGAAGTATTTCCCCAAGTTTTGTGAGCAGTTCTAGAAACTTATTAAATCTCAGGGGTGGGTTATGGGAACCCCAATTTATAGCTGGTCATCAGAAGTACAAGGGGCCAGCCTTGCAAGTGGCTTCAGATAAGTTTCAAATAACCACCTGTAATTTTCGTTAGCAAAACATCCCTCCATGATCTAAGATTGGTCTTCACCTATTATTCAATGGTTTGATGATTCAAAAGCCATTCGAATCAACTAATCGGTAATTATTAAAGAAGTTTATATTGCTATCATCTCTATTCTGGAAAAAAAAGGAGATTTATTTTTTAAATATACTGTGCTTTATTCCTTCATGTCTTTAATAATGCTCACTTTCAGACAACAGATAAGATTCAATCCGTAATATATTCATTTGCTTCAAATGGGCAAAACCATCTGGTCCCCTCAATTAACTGTAAGGATCTGGTGTCACAGAGCCAGTCTTTGAATTAATGTCTGTTCAGCAGGCATTTATATCATACACTTGCTCTTTGGGTTCTCCTTTCTGCCTTTCGTCCCCCACCAGCCTCCTCCCAGTCACCGCCACGGCCCCACACATGCCCAGGTTTTACGGAAGTGGAAGTCCAGTAAGCTCAAAGCCTCTCAGTTGGTACGTCCCCCCCCCCCCCCCCATTTTGCTCCAGAAGGTTTGTCTGAAAGTGTAATGATAACAAAAGCAGCAGATTTGAGAGATTCTCCCTGGAGAAGGGAAAGGACAGCTGTACACAGACATATAGCAGAGAACGCTGCCAGCAACAGCTGGGGAAGTGACAGGCTCAGAAGTGGGTGACCACCCCATAGCGCAGATGTGAACCTAAAGGAGCAACCATTTCCCTTGATTTGCTCTTGACTTTTCGGGCTCCCTTTCATCAGCAGAGAGAAGGGACCAGCTTGGCTTGCATCCTGACTCTTAGAAAAATTCATTTATTTGCTTATGTTTTATACTTGTTCTATTTCCTTTTTTTAAAAATCTTGGAAAAGACTCAATACCACAGTATCCATCAAAACAACAAACATATTATCATTAAAAAATAATCATTCTGAGATATGATAGGTCGTTGTCACTACTACGATGTATGTTAGAGGAAAAACAGATATTGTAGTCATTCCATTTTAAGTAAGCAAAAGGTTGATTTCTTTCTAAACCATAGTGTTTCTATAACATTACATAATGCCAAAAGTCAAAAGAGACACAACCTGGAGACACAGTGTGGCCACCATGGGTTGATTCTAAGGGTCTGCCATTGGCACAGCACTTACCTTCTCCTCCTCCTCTTCCTCCTCTACGTCCGTGCTCTCCTGAAAAGAAACCCCATAGCTCGTTAGTTAATTAAGGAAACATTCATTGGGATTGCCCAATGCAAATGAGACACATGCTTTTAAGTTTTCTTACAGAGCTGGAATATCGATATGTTTTAAAACTCATTAGATCCTCTTGTAACATTCACACTTCTGAAGTTCAGAGACACCGTGGCAAGGTTATAAACAATATGCAGGGTCTACTTGGAGCCACTAGGTAGAAATAAACCTACTGCGCAAGCGCCCTTTGACAGTGTCCAGCTTCAAAGCTACAGAGCCAATTTATCCTTTCTGCAAACAGATTTGTTCTTGTCTGGCAAACACACCAAGCACTATGTTAAGGCTAACTACTAAACTCATCATTGTAAGGATCACTCCTTTCTCTTTGCTGCCATTACCAAAACATTCAGCAATAGAAAATGCACAAGTCTGAATAGTGTCATCATGAAGAAGGCTACAGGAACAGAGAAAGAGAAGAAAACCAAAGGCTCCCATACTGACTAACAGTTGCATGACTTTAGAGCAGGTGCTGGATGGCACCAGTGTTGCTACGGGGTTCGTTCAGCACCATTTGAAGTGCCCTCTATTTAATAGGAACATTTTATATCATATAATTGCAGGGTATAAAAGTAAACAGTCACATATGATAGCACATGCCTTACTCCCAGCCTTTGGGAGACAGAGGCAGAGGGATCTTTTGAGTTTAAGGCTGGGCTGACTAGGTTGTCCATATCCAGTGTTCAGGGCTATACAGTGAGACCTAATTATAACGAATAAGGAGAAGAGGAGGGGAGGGGAGGGAAGAGGAGAGGAGAGGGGAGGAGAGGAGAGGAGAGGAGAGGAGAGGAGAGGAGAGGAGAGGAGAGGAGAGGAGAGGAGAGGAGAAGAGAAGAGAAGAGAAGAGAAGAGAAGAGAAGAGAAGAGAAGAGAAGAGAAGAGAAGAGAAGAGAAGAGAAGAGAAGATTACCATAAGTTGCTACAACCAGAAGGGTGCAGGAGCAGGAGAAGAACATTCAGCATTAGAAACCATTTTTTCAAAGCAATATTTTTCAACATGAAGACTTCTTTCTACATAACCACACGAAGGTCAGACTTCCTATTTAGTTCCATTCCAGCAGCTTAAAGCAATCTTCTGCATTATGACTGATACAAGAAGTGGTTTGGGGGTGACCAGAGAGCTCTACTTTATACCCCCAAATTTCTGAGCAGTCAACAATGTAACCTCCCTCAGGCTGGTGCTTCCTTACATCTGTTCATCCTCATGACCATCAGCTGCTGGTCTGTCTGACACTCTCTGTGTAGGGGTTAAATTATTCATCCCTCATAATAACCGATAGATACATGGGAATGCAGCAAGGACAGGTTAGCAGGGGTAAACAAAGTGTTTTTTTTTTTGTACTTTTTTGATTATCTAGTAGTGGTAAAATAGAAGAACCAACTAACAAAAATGGATTTATGTGTATTTCTACCTTTCCTCCATGCTAAATGAAACAAGAAAAGCCTTTCAATATCTATTCTTTCAAATATTATCTTTAAAATGAAAATATAAAACCATGTGGAAATGGTTTGCATTTGAATCATGAAAAAAATCATGTCTAGATGCCAGTTCTAGAAAGAAATTTACTGGGCAATGGAATTTTAGAGCTTTTGATTTTAAAAGCTGTTTCTTAGATCAGAAATATCAATATTTATTTCTAAAGCTAGTTACTAAAGACATGTACCTGTTCACTTAGAACAGATAAAAAGTACCCTCTGGGATGGGAGGTTGATAAGAGCCAGGAGGACAGAGAAGCAGTAGGCACCAAGGAATTTCCTTCAGAAGTGACCATGTGTCCTTCCACATAAAGGGACTTCGAGGGCCAATGGAAGAAATCACAGCATTTGGGAGTAGAGGGTGGGAGTTATTCCCACCCACTTGCTGAGCACCCTGGAAGTTGGTAATCCCTGGATAAACTTCAAAAGGACCAATGGCCTAACCCAGCTGTCCAGAGAGTGCTACAGTATGCTGGAGAGGCCCAAGGAACCCCCATAGATTTTTCCTCTAGTGTTCAGAACATAATTCCCAGGATCTCTATGAAAAAGCAGATAGATGTACAGATTTCTAGGGAGGAAATGACAACCAAGATCCAGAGAGCTCCTCTCATATCGAGAACACCAGCTGAGATGTAGGACTATGAGTCCCCAGAAAAGGAAGATTCCAGAATACATGTGATAAAATACCTGTTCTGGAAACTGTACTTGTATCTCATTCTTCATACCTCAAACAGTAGACTGGAGCATGACTTAGTCATGGGACAGGTCCTGCTGCTATCTTAGTCCTCAGCATGGAGCTGGAAGAACTCCGGGAACCGTTGCTTACCTGGCTGTCCTGTGTGCTGCTGGCCTTCCCTTTCATGGGTCTGAGGAAGTTGTACAGAAAGATCAGCAACAATGCCAGAGGGATCATGTAGAGTTCAAAATTCCAGACAGTGACCAAAAACACCTGCCGGGAAAACAAACGAGAGCCCATGACTCTTAGATCAGAGGATGGGAATTTCACATTTGTTGATTCATTGACAGAGTGAGAGTAAATTTAGGGATTGCTCAAAAAGGGTGAAAGTGCAAATGGGTGCAGCCACCGTGGAAACCAGTGCAGCAGTGCCTAAAATACCTAGAAACCGATCAACTATATGCCCAAGCCATACTATTACTGGCATTTACGCAAAGGGTTGTATTTCCTGTTACAGAGACACATACTCAGCCATGCTCATAGCTGGTCTACTATTCACAGTAGATGACCCATGAAAATAACCTAGATGTTCCTTAACTGGTGAATAGATAATGAAAATGTGCTGCCTATACACAACGGAATTAATTCGGCCGTAAAGATAAATGGAGTTATGAAATGTGCAGGTGAATAAACGGAACTGGGAAATACACTAAGTGACATAGCTGGACATAGAAGGTCAAAGATGCTACATGCGCTCACATGAATCTTCCTGTCAGCTCTTTAGATTTGTGTGTTTAACCTGGAGTATCAGGGAACTAGAAAGGGACCGCTGGTTGAGGGTGTTGGGGAGATCTTATGGAAGAGTGGCAATTAGAACACAAGAGATATTAAGGGGAAAGAGAGTGTAATTAGGAGGAAGGAGAGGAATGATAAAGGAGGGGAGAGAATCCGGCTGAGGAGAGGATAACTAACACTGAGGATAACTGAAAAATAGGACCTACTGTTTGAAACACTCTAGATAATTGATAGACAGACATATATATATATATATATATATATATATATAGAGAGAGAGAGAGAGAGAGAGAGAGAGAGAGAGGATAGATGGATAGATAGAGAATAGATAGATACATGATAGATAAATAGATGATAGCTAGCTAGCTAGCTAGATAGATAGATAGATAGATAGATAGATGATAGATATCATACATACATACATACATACATACATACATACATACATACATAGAAAGAAATAAAAGTGAAGTTTCCTTAACAGGGGATAATGTTCCTCTGAGAAAGCACAGGTCACCAAAAACTATAAAGCCCTTTGCCAGGTGTGGGATACCTCTCCCCAGCTGTTGGTGAGGGAATGTCTACAGACAGGAAAATGATACAGTGTGTTGTCACTGCTCCTGGCTGCTAACCAGAACTTAATGGGAAAAGTCTATCGCTGAAGACACAACTTCACGGGACAGGGACATGAAGTGGGACATGGAGAAGTAAATGTGGTATTGACCAGGAAGTGTTATCCATGATGGCTGGATTTCATAATATTGGAAGGCACTATGCAGGCTGCTTGGGTACTATAGCCACCAATCAACACGTGTATCAAGCTGTTAACCCTTTGAGCTACAAAAATGACCAGGCTAACAAAATATGCTTATCATACAATAGCGGCACAAACATTGGAGGAGCAACCAGCTATATTCTGACTTGTTTTAAGACCCTCTCCGCAGGAAGAAACATTTGTTTAGGAATACAGATATAAACAAGAGCACATTATTGGAGAGATCATAGGCTCTAGGGATAGCCTATTGCTATTACTCTAGTAAATGGGTGAGTTTCAAACTGTCCATTCTAGATTCATGCTTCAACCATAAATTAGCGTAGCTCTCAGATACCATCAGAGACACTTCTTTATTTGGGTGACATTGGTTAGTGCAGAAACTAACAACTTGTCAAAGTGCAGAGAACAGGAGCCAGTGGGTTATTAAGTCACAAATGGATCATCTCTATCACAGACCTTTACCCCAAAGCTCAGGGACCACTGCAGAAGAGGTGTCAAGGCAGACTGTAAGAGTCACAGTTTAAGGAGACTGGAATGAAACAGTGTCTTCTGGATATGGCAGGGTTGCTTCATGGATGACCTCACAAAGGCCCTAGCTGAAGACAATCAATCAGTGGCTTCTGGGGAAGAAAACTCAGTTTTCTTAAAGGTTGTGGCCTCTGGTCCCTGGTAGGTTGGGTACACTCCAGTTTATGGACCCACACTTTAAGAGTCCATGGAGCACAAACTGAACTCAGTTTTTCTTTTTAAGTCCACAAAGTTGAGATGGGGGAGTAAATCTCAGAGGAGTTAGAGTGAGGATCAAAATAAATGTATGAAATCCTCAAAGAAGTAAAAATATAACGTTAAAAGGGATTAAATTTAGACACAGTTCCCAAAAGGTATAGATGTGGGCACATATGCATACACAATGAACTCTTAGAGACTATAACAGAATAAAAAGAATATAGGCAGAATTAGCAGGTCATGTTCTGCAAAGTGAGAATATTGTCATATTTCATAACATCACTTTCCTGACAGCCCTGTTTAATATTGTTGCTTCTGAATTTTTATGTGTCAAAAATTGGAGAGCAGGCTAAAAGATTCTAAGGTCACAGGCCAAATACTGCCATCAGTAAAAATAATTTGAACTAGGGAGAACGGTTGTCAATATTTCAAACTACAGGTATTTTATATACATGTGTGTTTCTAAAATCCCTTGAAGAACCCTCAAATGAGAAAGCTATGAAATTTTAGGGCTCTTAGAAAATAATTAGATATAACTTCTGATATAATACAAGATATGCATCACCTGGACCAATCAGTCTCAGCCTTGGAGTATCCTTTGCTGTGGATGGACAGAGAGTTTCAGGCCCTAAGCTGCAGAACTGGGTGAGAAACACAGGCAAGAGACAGGGTGCTACCTCCAAGGACACAAAGCATGAGAGCACAGGACTGCCCTCTTGGGGAAATCATTACAAAACATGAGGCACACTGTCACACATAGTTTATGAGATGAGTCACATGATCTGTATGTATCAGCTTCCAGTGTGCAGAAAAATTCAAGTAAGACTATTTCATCATAAACATAAAAACTTCCTAACCGAAACCAATAATGTTTTACCTAAAATTTAAAAACTTTACAACTATTAAATATCACTTAATTCTTTTAGCTTTGTTTACTCCGCATCCTAAATGTTTTTTTTTTCCAAAATCTGGTTATAATTACATGCAAAATCTCTGACTTGAATATATTCATTTTTAAAATTAGCAACCTTGTGGAAGTTTTTCTTGTTGGTTTAAATAGTATCTTGTTCAATTAATCTGGGATTTCTAAAATATATTCACATGTGTTGGGGGCTACAGCCCCCTGGTCCCTTGACTTTCTTTGCCTGCCTCAGACCCTTTGCCTGCTGGAGTGAACTGAGCAAAACAACTTGTTTCCCTGTGCCTGCAGCTGCTCTGAGCACGAGACCCTGATGGCAGGGAATCGGGTTCTGGTGAGGTGAGGCCTGCAGCTGAAAGATCCCGAGAGCTGGGGCATCGCTATCAGTTAAGGATCCCTATATAAGCTTCCGTGGAGCACAATAAACTTGGCATTGTTGTATCAAAGATGACCCATGTCCCCGTGTCTCTGTGTGCATAAATTTTAAGTCCCCAGCTTAGTTTCCGGCTAGCGTACTGTCCCTTAGTGCAGGCACTACACACATGAGCTATGTATAAGAAATTTGTTCTGTTTCTTCCTTCCTTGTGTTTGTAACTTGGTTTTTCTTGCTTAATTTCATTGCTCCTACATAAAGAGATATTATTAGGAGAGATATTATTTCCAAATTCCAAACTGTAATGAAAATTGTGCTGTTTTTTTATTCCTCTACCATTAAGCATGGTGTTTGCTTTTAGCTTCCACTGTATAAATAATATCATATTAGGAATATGCACAAATCTATTTAGTTTTAATATGGGGAATTTCATCGAGGTACTCCCCTCATTATTGCTCACATCTCTCAGATGTTCTAAAAGCACCCCTTTGAGTCTGCTTCAAATTTAATGGAACATTTTTAAACAATAAGATTTCCATCCATTCTAATAAGGGTTTATTTCAGGAGTGTTATTTAGTAAATCAGTAATGGATGGTGGCTAATTGATAGCTTTTGGGTTGTTTACTTTTCCTTTTTGGCGTCTTCTGGAGAAGAATTTTACCTTTCTCATTTTAACACCTTCATAGGATATATTTAACCTAAACAAGAGTTTGAAAAAAAAATCTGTTCCTTTGGGGAAACGCCTTCACTGAAGCCTGACTGTCTCTTAATATATGTTGTTGTACTGAATTCGTAAAGACAAAAGAAGCTTTACATTGATTCCAATGACAGATAGTGCTTGATTTTTGTGTCGTTGTCAGATTTTGGAATTAGGCTATTGTGACATCACATAAGCATTCTTCAACACCTTATGACACGTTATAGTTTAATATAACTAGATATTTTAAGATGACAAATGACACACAGAACCCTTCAAGTGTTAAGATTTTTTCTGTCATTTTTATGTGCCTTAACTATTTCTCCTTTTTGAATCCAAGATACTTCAGGTAGTTGTTCCCTCTGCTAACACTCCTCTCTGCTGTATTCTTCTCCTCCCCAAAGCAATGGTAAGTCTTTCTCAACAGGGGACCCTTTGGGTAATCATTAGAAACTACAGACATTATTGATATGTGTAAAGATACATATTTAGAGAGAATGGCCCAGGGGAAGCATAAAAACAAGAATGACTGCTGAGGATGACGTGGAATGGAGCTTGAACAATTTTAGAATGTATGTACCTATTGGTTGATCAATTGGAAGCACAGGTTTGGGACTGAAGTAGACACTAGTATGTGGTTTAGGATTCAAGATAAAAGCAATGGCTATAGACATAATTTTGTGTATTATCAGTCTCCAGATAGCATCCAACAGCATCAAATGGGATAACCTTGCAAGGAAACAAACATACAGAAAAAGGACCTGGAAGTGAGCCCTGAGAAGTAGAGTTTCAAAAGACAAGGAAGATAATCACATATGTCAATGTAAACATACAACACCTTACATAAAAATAAAGTATAAATTTATGTAGCAAAATAATCTGGACCAGACCCGACAGCTCTGCACTCTGGAGCAGAGACGCCATGTTCAGCTCTCCCGGGTAGACACGATAGCTCTGCGCTCTGAGGCAGATGCATGAAGCTCAGAAC